GCTATTTTGCTACTAAGTTCTAATAGGCCGATCTCACTTAAAATTGGTCTAGGAATGATCAGCTCATGGTCCTGACAAAGTTAAGTTAACATTATACTATTTTTTACTCAAATTGGTACATATTTCAACAACAAAAATAAATACTGTAGACTCAGGTGACCGTTTAGGCCCATGGGCCTCTTGTTTTACAGTATCAGTAACACTATTTTTCGTGTTTTTATCAACTCAACTTGACACTTGTCTAGATAGAAATGTCTCCTGACTGATGGACAAAGCTTGATTGTTTTCTAGGCACATTTATATAATTGAAATATTACTCTATCATTTATTTATTTTTCAACAGCACAATGTAGAAGACAGGATAACAGTGGCAGCTCTCCAGGAAAAACTTGCTCATCTTAATCAGTCTACAGTCTCAACTTTGTCTTCTCCATAATAACTCATACTGACCAGTTCTAGTGTTTGACATACCCTCAGTTACTTCTGCGCATGAGAGACATCTGCAGAACACAGCTTGAACATATGAAGCCATCCGAAGAAAATGTGCCATAATAACTTGATCAAAATGTTTTTTTAAATACTTATATCTATTGTTCTTAAGTGCTTTTAGATAAATTGCAATTATATGTTGTCTGAATTGATATGTGTATTTAACTGATGTTAATATTATAGTATAAATGGCATTTATATTTTATCATGTTGATGGTTCCCTGTCTTACTACAACATGGAATGCTTTTGTAAATCAACGCATTTAGCTGTATACTGCATGTCCAGTATGGATCTGTTATAGAACTAATGTCCAGATAATTAGTAGTGTTTGATTGTACCGGTCAAATCTAGTATCTGGGCTCAAGTGTCACGATCGCTAAACCTTTTTTCTAGTGCTTAAGATCTCATAATCTTATGAAAATCTCACACTTTTATGCACTTCTTGAAAATCGTGATTCAATATCTAGTCACCAGAAATTCGGGCAATGTGAGAGGCAACGAAGACAATGATAATGGGCTAGTTATCCCATGTCAGTCACTATACCTGCTGGTCGATCAGGCATATGAGGGACTTGCTACCTGGACACTAACGATAAATAAGTGCCAGGGCAAGAGTAAGACAATTAAACTTACCTGTCACTGTCAGCTGTTGAGGTAATACACAACATCCTCGTGTTATAGACTAACACCCGATACTGTCAATAACTGTCACAATCATTTATTCTTGTTAATTAGAAACATTAGGTATAGGCCTATATTCACACTGCCAACATATGTTGAATAAATAATATTATGGTTTATAATTAACATTAAACGTTAAAAAAAAATCAAACATACCCACTTTTTTATCAATCAAAATAATTTGGGTGCATTTCAAATGTCAAAATTGTTAAAATTGCACAAGCAATCACACTTTTGAAAGATAGGTGTGTCTTTTAATCAGTCTAGGTGCAAAATCTTGACACAATTTCTGAAAAGTTATGCAAAGATGGTGTCAAAATATTTGATTTTTGGAGTGCTTATCCAACAAATTTGTCTTCAGGTCAGGGTGAAAAAGGTATGCTTGTTACATGATGATGTTTTATTGATCGACTCCTGAGTATTTTAACATGCTGTCTTATTCAACATAATGATGGAATCCCATTTTTGTCATGAAAACTACCTTAAACCTGTGTCTTCCGACAATATCTCAAATGATGGGAACCCATTTCTTGCATGAATATTACCAAATAACACGTATTCTGACATGCTGTCTTATCTGACCAGCATGTGCTGTACCACAGGATGTCAGATTGGACAGGTTCCACTGTATATTGAAATCTTATCTGAGACTGTCCCATAATTATGTGGTATAGAAATATGTTGTAGTGTTCAGAGAAATATTGTCTGTTGCACATTTACTGGTTAATGACTTTTGACTCATATCCTGATTATGTGGCAAAGATATGCGTTGTGTTGTACAGAGAAATGTCTGTCACATAGTTATACGACTCGTACCTTGATTATGTGGTAGAGATATATGTACAGAGAAATATTTCTATTACCTGGGTATATAATGATGACTTTTGACTCTTACCTTGATTATGTGGTAGAGATATATGTACAGAGAAATATTGTCTATTACCTGGGTATTATGATTATGTGGTAGAGATATATGTACAGAGAAATATTGTCTATTACCTGGGTATAAAACAGAGAAATATTGTCTGTTATGTAATTATGTGATATTATAATGTACATACATATGGTGCTTGTTGTTGTGTATTTTTTTTAACATTGGTTAACATGATGAACTCTGATTGGTCAGAACCCTGTGAATCCCTGTGTGTTGTTTTCAGTTTATAACCCTTTGAATCCCCGTGTGTTGTCCTTGGGTATAACACTGAGCCTTTGTGTGTGTTGTCCTTGGGTGTAACACTGAACCTTTGTGTGTGTTGTCCTTGGGTATAACACTGAGCCTTTGTGTGTGTTGTCCTTGGGTATAACACTGATCTTTTGTGTGTGTTGTCCTTGGGTATAACACTGAGACTTTGTGTGTGTTGTCCTTGGGTATAACACTGATCTTTTGTGTGTGTTGTCCTTGGGTATAACACTGAGCCTTTGTGTGTGTTGTCCTTGGGTAAAACACTGATCCTGTAAATCCATGTGTGTTGTCCTGGGTTTATAACCCTGAAAATCCCTGTGTGTTGTCCTGGGTTTATAACCCTGTAAATCCCTGTGTGATGTCCTGGGTTTATAACCCTGTAAATCCCTTTGTGTTGTCCTGGGTTTATAACCCTGTAAATCCCTGTGTGTTGTCCTTGGGTATAACCCTGTAACGCCCTGTGTGTTGTCTTTAGGTGATAACCCTATAAGTTCCGGCTTGTTCTTGGTTTTTAGCTCACCTGGTCCAAAGGACAATGGTGAGCTTATGCCATACCGCAGCATCCGTCGTCCGTCGTCAACTTTTCCTTTAAAACACTACTAGTCCTGATCATGAACAGCCAAGTAGATTTTGACTAAATTTGGTCTGGAGCATCCTTAGGCCAAGGGGACTCAATTTTGTATAAACGGTGGGTGTGGCCCCCCTGGGGGCAGAGGGGCGGGGCCCAATAGAGGAAATAGAGGTAAAAACCTTTAAATTCCTTCTTCTACCGTAGGAATAAAAAGATTTGGTCCATATTTGGTCTGGAACATCCTTGGGGGAAGGGGAACAAATTTTGTATAAATGATGGGTCTGGCCCCCCTGGGGGCTGAGGGGAGGGGCCCGATAGGGGAAATATAGCAAATTCTTTAAAATCCTTCTTCTGTAGGAATGAAAGGATTTGTTCCATATTTGGTCTGAAGCATCCTTGGGTGAAGGGTAAACAATTTTGTATAAACCGTGGGTCTGGCCCCCTGGGGGCTGAGGAGCGGGGCCCGATAGGGGAAATATAGCAAATTCTTTAAAATCCTTCTTATTCTGTAGGAATGAAAGGATTTGTTCCATATTTGGTCTAGAGCATCCTTGGGGGAAGGGGAACACATTTTGTATAAATGATGGGTCTGGCCCCCCTGGGGGCTGAGGGGTGGGGCCCAATAGGGGAAATATAGCAAATTCTTTAAAATCCTTCTTCTTGTGTAGGAATGAAAGGATTTGTTCCATATTTGGACTGGACCATCCTTGGGTGAGGGGGAACCAATTTTGTATAAACGGTGGGTCTAGCCCCCTAGGGGCCTGAGGGGCAGGGCCCAATAGGGGAAACATAGCAAATTATTCTTTAAAATCCTTCTTCTTGTGTAGGAATGAAAGGATTTGTTCCATATTTGGTGTGGAGCTTCCTTGGGCCAAGGGGACTCAATTTTGTATAAACAGGGGGTCTGGCCCCCCCTGAGGGCTGAGGGGTGGGGCCTGATAGGGGAAATAAAGCAAATTCTTTAAAATCCTTCTTATTCTGTAGGAATGAAAGGATTTGGTCCATATTGGGTCTGAAGCATTCTTGGGTGAAGGGGAACCAATTTTGTATAAGCGGTGGGTCTGGCCCCCCTGGGGGCTGAGGGGAGGGGCCCGATAGTGGAAATATAGCAAATTCTTTAAAATCCTTCTTCTGTAGGAATGAAAGGATTTGTTCCATATTTGGTCTGAAGCATCCTTGGGTGAAGGGTAAACAATTTTGTTTAAACGGTGGGTCTGGCCCCCTAGGGGCCTGAGGGGTGGGGCCCAATAGGGGAAACATAGCAAATTGTTCTTTAAAATCCTTCTTCTGTAGGAATGAAAGGATTTGGTCCATATTTGGTCTGAAGCATTCTTGGGTGAAGGGGAACCAGTTTTGTGTAAACAGTGGGTGTGGCCCCCCAGGGACCTGAGGGTCGGGGCCCAATAGGAGAAATAGAGGTAAAACCTTTAAAATCCTTAGGGATTAAGGGATTTCATCCTAGTTTAGTCTGGAGCATCCCTGGGCCAAGGGAACTCAATTTTGTATAAGCAGTGGGTGTGGTCTCCCAGGGGGCAGAAGGACAGGGCCCAATAGGAGAAATAGAGGTAAAATCTTTAAAATCCTTCTTCGACCATCAGGATTAAGGGATTGTATCCTTATTTAGTCTGGAGCATCCTTGGGCCAAGGGGTCTCAATTTCATATAATTGTGGGTATGACCCCCCTAGGGGCATACGGGTGGGGCTCTGTTTGAAGTTTGTTCTCGCTATATCTCAAGTACTGGATGGATCTTTCTGAAATTTCATATGTACTTACAGCACCTACCATGGAGTGCTATATATTTACTTCATACCAATTATTTTAAACATATTCAGGTGAGCGATACAGGCCCTCTGGGCCTCTTGTTAGGTCACCTGAGCTTTAGCTCAAGTGACCCATTGCTATCCGTCGTCCGTTAACATTTTACATTTTCAACTTTAGCTGAAATACGGGCAAAGGGATTTCATTAATATTTCCTGGGAAGGTTACTGACATCTCCCTGACGAAGTGTTGTTATTTTTTTCGGGTCGATCAGAAATCCAATATGGCCCCTACGGCCGCTATTTTGAAAAACTATTTCAAACTTAAAGTCAAGTTCTGCTTGGCCGATTGAACTGAAACTTGGTAGGAATGATTGACTCATGGTCCTGACAAAGTGTTGTTATTTTTCGGGTCAATCACAAATCCAATATTGCCGCCACGGCCGCCATTTTTAAAAACTATTTCAAACTTAAAGGCAAGTTCTGCTAGGTTGATTGAACTGAAACTTTGTAGGAATGATCGACTCATGGTCCTGACAAAGTGTTCTCATTTTTCGGGTCAATCACAAATCCAATATTGCCGCCACGGCCGCCATTTTTAAAAACTATTTCAAACTTAAAGTCAAGTTCTGCTAGGTTGATTGAACTGAAACTTTGTAGGAATGATCGACTCCTGACAAAGTGTTGTTATTTTGTGGGTCTATCAGAAATTCAATATGGCTGACACGGTCGCCATTTTGAAAAAACTATTTCAAGCTTAAAGTCAAGTTCTAATGGGCCGATTAAACTGAAACTTTGTAGGAATGATCGACTCATGGTACTGACAAAGTGTTGTTATTTTGTGGGTCTATCAGAAATTCAATATGGCTGACACGGCTGCCATTTTGAAAAACAATTTCAAACTTAAAAGTCAAGTTCTGCTAGGCCGATTGAACTGAAACTTTGTAGGAATGATCGACTCCTGGTCCTGACAAAGTTTTGTTATTTTTCGGGTCGATCAGAAAAACAATTTGGCTGCCATGGCCACTATTTTGAAAATACCTATTTCATACTTAAAAACGAGTTCTAATAGGCCGATCTAACTGAATATCGGTCTAGGAAAGATCAGCTCATGGTCCTGACAAACTTAAGTTAACGTTATACTTCACAATTTTTTACTCAAATTGGTACATATTTCAACAACAAAAATAAATACTGTAGGACTTAGGTGACCGTTAAGGCCCATGGGCCTATTGCTAACCATATAAATCCCTATTTATTCTCTTTGTTTGATGCTGATATCACCAAATAAATCGTGGTGTATTCTTACATTAAATATTAAAACAATGTCAGTGTAATACAAGCTTGTTATAGCATCATGTCTCCTGTTTTTGTCCCTGTTACCAGACATTTAGTCCCTGTTACCATACTGTTTTACATGAAATATATCTCTTGTCTTGGTACAGTTACCGTACAGTAGTGTTTGGGATCTTGGTGAAATGAATCGTGAGATTTAGCGCTTTGGTGCCAGATCTAGTTTTGGATACATCAGGTGATTCCAATAACTGCATAAGTGTCTTTAAGGCCATGTCTTTTTCTAGTGTATTCACTTGTAATCTTCCCTGGGCGAAATAGCCCTTCCTTAAGCCCCGCACTGCCTGGCACACTTCTGGAGGGATGCTGAACGCACAGCAGTTATGTAGTATGCAGATGGCCACAGCTAGGTCTGAGGTATACAGGGGTTTGCCCATCCACCAGACCGGTCCATACACCTTGACCATCTCGTTCACACGCTCCGGCCACTCAGAGGAGTCAAACTTGTTCCATTGTATCTTATCCTCCTGGAGGCTGTATCTGTGGTGTCTCATGATCTGATTACGCCATTCCGTACAGGTAGGGCACCACTGTGACAGGGACCCAGTACGTTTGCTGCAGCTGTCACTACACTTTTCCAGCCCTGCACAGGGGCCTTGCTTGATGCTACAGTGAAGATGTGTCAAGGTGTCTTTCAAACAATCCACCATTCCATGGGTAGTCGTAGAAATACCCAACGCCACCTGGTGCCAGTTCTGGAACTTACTTTCCTGTGACTGCTCTCTTTGTGGTTGCATCTTAACTGCAAATTGGTGATAAAAAATGTTAATAATGGATCATGGTGGTGATAAGGGTACTACACAGGTACATAATACAGGGGACCAAAAGCTAACCATACACAGTATATCATATGCTCTTCATAATTTTTGCAAAACAAAAACTGTGTGTAATAAGTAAATGAACTTCAGATCTTTACATCATCTTCGTAGATACTGTGCCATATCTGATCTTCATCCTCTACCTTATTACGAGGACGACCGCAACAGTGGCACACAACACTCCCTTTAAGTGTGGATACACTATCAATGAAGTTTGATCAGAAGCTTGAGTCGTCATGCTCCGGACAAGCACTACAATGACATTTGACCCCTGACCTGAGTAATTGAACCGAGAAAGCTGCAATGAGTTATGCTCCTGAAAGTCGTTACATTGGTTTGATCTTTGAACCTTTGGCGAAGCTCTGATCTTGAGGACACTTAACTGTATTTGTAAATTGCATTAGACAAACCGCCTAATCATGACAAAAACTTTTGTTAAATAGGAAAAAAATCTACCGGTTAAGATGTTTCAGTCCGGACAAGAGAAAAAATAATGGACGGATCACACCACACATTTAAAAAGATACTTAATGCAAGTGTATTGCGAACCTCCTACTTTCGGGTTCCATGGTACATTAGAGAACATGACTGTGACCTTGACCTTGAGATTGGGAAATTGAGGTGAGGTTTTCCATCCTGATTGGGACATTGGAGTAAAGTTTACCATCCTGATTGGGACACTGACCATCACTACCTTACAACGGCAGACACAATAAACTAACAATGAATCTCATTAGATGTGATTTTAATGACTCGTAACGTGTATCCTTCCCTCTTATAGTGACATTGTGGTATGGCACATTGTCTGATGGGCACGTTTTACTGTAAATATATACAGCATTCCAAAGTAATTGACTGTGAATATGTTACTAAATAACAAAAATACACGTTTCCACATTCATATGTCAATACATGTATCTATATATGTGTCGAATTTATTGATTTCTGTCCCCATATCACTATGTCATTTTACTCCCATTATACACCACCACTTACGTCGTCTATCCTTTAATGTCCTGCAATTCAAAAAAGGTTAGTCATTACTTATTTACATTGAGGAAAAGAAATTAATATCGTATTCGTCACATCTTGTGTATACATTGCTAGGTTACGTCACGGAATTAGATTATCTAAGTCCGTGGTTATGTGTAGACACAAAGTAGCATGGATTCAACATACCTTAACGTTAACCCGGCTGTATGCAGCCTCTAGTGTCCAGTCGACTGTCCCGACTGATTACCAAGCGTAGTCGGGTTCTGAAAACGAGTTACCAACTGTAAAAACAAATATTTGATCGAAGGGATTTGTGTAATTTAATACGAGAATATTATACCCATATTCATTTATTGAATAGTTCTACGTCCAATTTAGTCGGGTCTGTGCTTATAATGACGATATACACACCCCTGTGTGTTTGGTTACATGTATATCAAGGAACAATGGCCCCAGATAGGTCTGGCACTCCATTATCTTCACGTGTGTGACAGGAGGTCAGAAATCAAATACACATTGGCAGACCGTGCACAATATATACCTACAGGTACATCGTAGCGTATCAGTTAATCAACCTATTGGATAAATCAAATTCAAATATCCCTGGCCTGCTTGGTAGTCAGTGTAGTACAGCTCACAGCAAACATATAAATCACATTACAGATTTCCCATGAGACCTTTCCAGCTCTGTTGATCACAAACTGTTTCTTCTCTTGTGACAGGGACAAATAATTCAAGTTGTTGAACGAACCAACAATTATTATATATGGGATGTTAACCACATACATGTGATAGATTCACGAACGAAAGATGAGATATGTAACAAGTCGGGCATAGGTATTCAAACACTCCACAGGTGTAAGAGAAGATATCGCCCGTGACGTGTGTCGTAAACAGACATATAACCATACAAAAACAATCGTTTATTGGTAAAGTGACAAAATACACAGGTTATCAAGCTTATGTTTTCACCTTGAAGGCCACAACTTTGACAAGCGACCCGTATCCAGGTGAAACGCCAATCCACAAACAGGTTTGTCATATCCTGCTTCTCCGCAAACTGGGTGCGGCAGGTAAAGAGTCGTCTAATATCTTCTTTAATGACCCGATGTACGATGCGTTTGGTACAGGCGATACATTATCCTTATGTCAAAGTCTACTGGTGGCATGGCTTATATTAGGTCGGTAGTACATCAAAAAGGAAGGAAACATACAGTGGCATCATTCCTCGTCGTATTGTACGCAAACCAAAGGCACTACTTGAACCTGTCTTTTGTGAATCATCCAATGCCTTGAGTATGTTGGAAAGTGTACGGATAAATCATTCACGCTTTTCTTCCCATTGAGGAGGACATAGAATTCTTTCATTGGGATAAGTCTAAAAGTTCTTATCAAGAGAACTTTCATCAGACGGCATTTTAATTTTAGATATTTGATACGAATGAACGTAGTGATCACAGCAGACGACAAAGTTGTTGAAGAAAGCTTCTGTTTGGTGTTCTGGCTGTCTGAGTGCGGGTTGGAACTGCGCATATCCGTTGTTGAAAACCCGCACACGCCAAGTCGAGCGGTTGGGTAGTTGATATAGGCACTAAATGGTCTTACCCATTCGTGGCAGACTCCCGGCGCATGACATGATGATTACCGTGTAATCCTCTTTCCCACACATGCTATCATGGTTGGCCAATAGGAACTGGTCTGACAATAGTGACTACTAGAGCTTCCCCTACCTGAGGCTATGGCAGAGCAATGTCAACCCAACGGGTGATATTCTTGACTATCTAACCCGAGGCTTACAAATGTGCTACTACTTCAAGTTCAGCACTTAATTGTTAGGACATAAGTCAGAGGATTGTTGTCGGTCAATACGGAAAACTGGGATTGTACAAGTAATCGTTGTATGTGATGGACCGTTTCAAGGGAATTTAGTCTGTACATCTGGTGATGGAAACATCTTCTCCAATTCCTTCAACTTACTGAAGTCCGCCCTTTCCTTCCCCCAGCTTCAGCCCCTTCCAATATGTCCCTTCTTTTTCTTTTCCATTGTCATGATGTCAGTTAAGGTTGTGCAATCTTGGAGAAGTTTGATGAGTATCATGTAGTACCCGGGAAGCCGAATACAACTCTCTTGAACATTTTACAGACTTGTAACACCATTGGCAATCTCCACTTTCTCGAGACCATCAACCAATACTCTCTGCGGTTACAATGATTCCAAATTAATTCGCACGTTGGTAAAACAACGAACTTTTCCTTGGAGACAACTATGTAGCATGGGTATGTAGAAATTCTCCTAGTGCTCTTCAAAGAGAAGAGAAGAAGATGAAACTGCGCCAAAAAAACTACGCCATCGAGGACTGGTAGGTTGCAGGGGTATTAGCAAAGTCAAATCACATCCGATTGAAATAATAAAAAAAACCGGGGTGCTTACAGTCAAAATGCAGTTCTTCCTTGTACTCTGACTGGACGTCCACCCCATGGTGGCCGCTATTTATAAACAAACCTGCAAAATGGGCTGTATTAGATGACAAGACGGAAGTTCTTTAGCCGTAGTGAAGCGTAAGAATAAATTATGCGTGTCTTCTGAGTTGACAAAAGTCAATGTACATCCGTAATTTAGGGCCTTTTTTCGGGACAACTCCTAATGCCCTAGGGCAATGCGATTCCCTTCCGATCTGCTAGTCAACAACTGTTGGAGATTCACATGTACCTGTTGAGTAATTCCAAGAGGTAACCACCGATGGAGTTGCTTAAATGGTCTTGTGTCATCCAATTCAGTCCTTTGGCAAAAGTCTACGGTGTGTCTTAGTAAAAAGCCCCGTTGGAGACCATATCTGATACTTCTATATAATTATTTTCTCGAACAAGAAGAACGTCACTTAACACTGGGGAGAATGTCACATAACCGTTTTGTCGCTTGATACTAATTCAGCCAGGTGGAAATTTTTCTTTAGCCCAATGTGATGTAATCCCCGGTAGAGGACATGGGAATTTGGTACAGCTACTCTTTTTTTTTTATCTAAACTAAGGTGTTCAGAGTAATATTAAATGTTTTAGATCGACTTTCGGTAAAAATGACACCCCCAATGATAATATATAATATAGCTGTAACAAAATCCTAGGTCCCTGTGGGCAAAGGCACCTAGAAAAAGTGACATTCGTAAAACAAAAAGGTACGTACATTTCTTTGCAATGGCGGATCCGTGCATGTGATTTCACGGACATAGCCCGCATATGAAACATTTATTTTTCTCATTTTAACCCCCAGAGCAGATCCTGAACCTTGATTAAAAACCCGTTCTTTTTATCTAAATGGCCTTCGTGGTTTAAAATAAACTTTGATCTAGCATTACACTAATAGGGAAACGGGGAATTGAAATATTAGAGATTTCACATTAAAATATTATATGATGGTTGAAAATGCTATATATTTACGAAAGTAGGATGATGGATAATATAGATATGTACGAGCATAACTCACTGCTATCCTCACCAAGGGCGGACATATGGTTAACTGTATGTTTAGCTTCTGTAAGTGTAGTGATGGATCCAGAGACCTTTCTGGGGGTTTCCATGTGGGGAAAAAATGATGAAAATGGTGAAAATACGGTGTGATTTTTAAAGAAAATTTTCAGGGTGGGGCGGACCCAGAGGTGTTTTTTTATGGGGGGGGGGGGGGGGCTTCAAGACCCCCTCCGGATCTTGAAGCCCCCAAAAAACCTATGGATCCGCTACTGATAATCTCTATATGAAGTATGCAACGAAAAAGTTATTATTTGGTATCTATTCTATAACTTAACTTCCGGTAGTACTGATGTACGACTCGGCTCCCGACAGGGTACGCTATCACGTGGTGTTTATGTCATGTGACTTTAAGTCAGAACAAAATGGCGGATGTTTACTGTTTCTCAGTGTTTTCCCTACTTTCAGTTTGTTCGATGCGAGTCATTTCAGCGGATTACCCATTCCGAAACACGTCTCTGTCCTATGACGAACGAGTAAGAGATTTGGTTAATAGACTTAATGTATCTGAACTCATACTTCAAATGTCGAAGGGCGGAGGAGGGAATCTCGGTGGACCGGCACCACCGATCCCCCGACTGGGTATTGGCCCTTTCCAGTGGGATAGCGAGTGTCTGAGGGGGGATGTGGGCGCAGGCAATGCGACATCGTTCCCGCAGTCAATTGGACTGGCGGCTTCTTTTAAGTAAGTATAGTTTGATTATAGACAGATGACAGTGGAGTCGACCTACATATATACATTTATCCTTAGTTGTTCCTACCACAATACTTTTTTTTAACAGGAAACAAACACAATTTTGTTTGTCATGACTATGCACATATTTCTTTATCAGATTGAGATATAGCCCTTGTTTTGTTAAAAGCCACTGTTCATTCATATTTCATTCACCAAGATTTTAGCCCAGTTCTGGTATTGTGTGTGACTATATATTATGCTCATCAATTTTACTTGCAGTCCAGAGCTACTTTATGAAGTGTCTGAGGCCACTGCTGTAGAAGTACGAGCTAAGTACAACAGTTTCCGTAGAAACAACCATTACACTGATCACACTGGTCTCAACTGCTTCAGTCCTGTCATCAATATCATGAGACACCCTCTGTGGGGACGAAATCAAGTGAGAAAAACATGTGTATTCATACTTTCAGTATATGACTTTTCTGATACAATCACAGTGCTTGCATAGACATGAGGTAACTATTTTTTCACTCAAAATTTGAAAGTTGCAGAAGAATACTTCATACTGATAGCACATTAGATTACTTTTAAGTTTCAGATACCTAATATTTGGAGTATACAGATATAATTTGATAATACAAGATTGATCAAATGAAGTTAATATTCTGTGTATAGCAGAGTTGATATGCTAGTGTATGGAATATCAACAATGAGCTAGTATGTGGCAGTATATCACAAAATGTTTATATACTAACAGGAAACATATGGTGAGGACCCTTACCTGTCTGGCTTGCTTGCCCAGGCTTTTGTCCACGGTCTACAGGGCCAACATTCCAAGTACAGACATGCCAATGTTGTTTGTAAACACTTTGCAGCATACAGTGGGCCAGAGAATCGGCCAATCTCACGTCTTCGCTTCGATGCTGAGGTGAGAGACATTTCTCAAGTTTAATACAAGAACTAGATAGTTTACCTGGGAAGACTCATCATTGTTGAGCACTTCCAGTACAACAATTAAAAATATTTGGAAAGGACAGATTACCCTGTTCCTAATAAAGAACATTTTACTTTGTTTCTCAGGTAAAGGAGCGTGACCTTCGGCTGACCTTTCTGCCCCAGTTTGAGGCCTGTGTGAAGGCTGGGGCTGGGGGCATCATGTGCAGCTACAACAGGTACGAGGTATCTCTAACCTTTATCTGGAATTCAGTCTTGGTTGTTATTGGAATCGTCTAATGAAAACTATATCTAGTCAGTAATGTTTAACCAAGTTTGCTTCTTATTATAAATGAATTTGTTAATTATGCTTGTACTGTATACCATTTGGAAAAATAAAATAGGTCACAATCACGCATGATACAGGTTTTGCTCAATGATATCTGTATTCCTTGCCATAATACAGCTTCAGAGGGTCAGTAGAGGCTATCTGTATGATGTCATATTACATTTGTAAGCATAAACATGCTCTCTGTAGATACATGTTTGTTACTGTTGTTAAATAAATTATTAGGTCATTCAGTGATTTCTGTTGCCATGTTACAGTTGTAGAGGTCATTAAGTGTTGTCTGTGTGTTGCTATATTACAATTATATATAATTATAGGTAGGAGGGGGGAGGGGTCATCGAGTGCCATGAATTAGGGTTAACAATGTGATGCTGTTTTTATGTTGCCAGCGTTAATGGTGTACCATCCTGCACCAATAAGAAGCTGTTGACGGACATTTTGAGGAAGGAGTGGGGATTTGAGGGGTTTGTGGTCAGTGATGCGGGAGCTGTGCAGTTCATCATGCTTGATCACATGTATTACCCTGATGCCATGACTACTGCTGTAGGATGTGCTGAAGCTGGTCTCAACCTGGAACTCTCTCCAAGTGGATTTATCTACAGGACACAAATCTTCAGTTATCTTTTCAAGGCTCTAAAGATGGGCTTGATTACCAAGCAGCTGCTGGTTGACAGGGTTAAACCGTTATTTATGACCAGAATGAGGCTGGGAGAGTTTGATCCACCTGCAATGAACCCTGACAATAAACTTAACCTGTCTGTCATCCAAAGCCCGGAACACAGAGAATTGGCCATTAAGGCGGCTACGCAGTCTTTTGTTTTATTGAAAAACACCAAGGGTTTCCTACCAATCAGAACACAGCTAACAACGATAGCAGTAAGTTTTGGGTTATATTTTCTTCAATTGCAGATCAGTTACAGACCTTATTCTACGTGAAATTATACATATTAAACAAACATTTAACAGAGTCTCACAACTAATTACTACTCACGGGTAGCTTTCGGCGACCTCCTGGTTGCCTTCTTCAGCCCATACCGAAATCAGTAGGGGGCTTCAGACTAGTCTGGTGATTCTTCAGTCATGTGACCTGGGGATTATCCCAGAAATTATGCACTTCATCATTTATAAACACTTTCAAAACAGTTGTTTGAGAACTTAAGTTATTCAATAACAAAATTTCCACTTCCGTTTCATGTATGTAAGTAATCTTAGTGAAAAAGTGGTCTCCAGATTGTAGGTCCTATGGCTGACAACCCATCACAATTGATGGGTGACTATTCTCCTGACGTAGATCCAAGGTTTATGACAACACCAAGACGTGGCTTATCTCCCCTTGCTGTGAAATCTTTGTATATAGCAGGTTGTAATGACATTGCCTGTGACAGATATGACCAGTCAGGGGTCAAGGCCACAGTTTCTGAGGCAGAAGTTACAATTGTTTGTCTGGGAACAGGTAAGTACTTCTCTGTCATCTCACAAGACAAACACTGCTGATGGATTTAGAAAAAACATATGTATCATTTTGCCTAAACTTTTATTCCTTTTTTCCTTTTTTATCATTACATATCTTTGTAGTATTTAATTTGGTTTCATCATTCTGCCTGATATATCTGGATATGTAGCCACCGTTAGTTGTGTCAGTGTTTTGTTAACTACTGTAGGAAAAGCATTGGAGACCGAGACAATGGACCGTCCTGACATGTCGCTACCTATCGGCCAGATCCAGCTTCTCAAGGATGCTGTACACTATGGTAGGCATAATGCACGGTAACAAAACATCACTCTGTGTTGTCTACCCCTAATCTTAGTGAAGGTGTAACTTGATGACATTGTGTGTTACTCCCCAACCTAACTCTAAGTGAAAGTGTAACTTGATGACATTGTGTGTTACTCCCCCAACCTTACTCTAAGTGAAGGTGTAACTTGGTGACATTGTGTGTTACTCCCCAAACCTTACTCTTAATGAAAGTGTAACTTGATGACATTGTGTGTTACTCCCCAAACCTTACTCTAAGTGAAGGTGTAACTTGATGACATTGTGTGTTACTCCCCCAACCTTACTCTTAGTGAAAGTGTAACTTGATGACATTGTGTGTTACTCCCCAAACCTTACTCTAAGTGAAGGTGTAACTTGATGACATTGTGTGTTACTCCCCAAACCTTTCTCTAAGTGAAGGTGTAACTTGATGACATTGTGTGTTACTCCGCCAACCTTACTCTAAGTGAAAGTGTAACTTGATGACATTGTGTGTTACTCCCCACCTCACCTTAAGTCAGGTGTAATTTGATTACAATGTGTGTTGCCACCATCCATTGCAGTCCATCTGGGACTTGGTGACAATATGGTTCAGTTATCTAGTTTATACATGCAAATTTGTATTAGTAATTGGTGAAGAATTTGATAGTCAATATATATTTTTGTACTTGCATGACATTTTTCCTGATTACCTTTAGGAAGAGGGAAGGTGGTGCTGCTGCTGTTCAGTGCTGGGCCGGTCGACGTGCGATTCGCCCAGACATCTCCAGAGGTAGTGGCCATCATACAATGCTTCTTCCCAGCCCAGGCAACAGGTATTGCTCTCTACAATGTCCTCACCTTCGCCACACCAGACAGTAATCCCTCAGGCAGGCTGCCATATACTTGGTACTCAGATATGAGCCAGGTAAGTTGGTTTATGACATAGCTGACTGTCATGCCAATATTAGTAACTATGTACTAGGCTATGAGCTGGGTTGATTTAGACATGGGTGGGAGTGACCTTGTCAGGATCAGACTCTGATAATTGGAATGATGATACGTGAATGGTACTTGTTTACGTAATAGATGGTTATTTTATATTTTGTCATTCTCTGAGTATAATTATATTTAAAGCATGCTACAGTGTAAATTATCATGTATGTTTTGTTCTCGGGAAGTAATTTGTACCCCTGTTATGATGATATCCTCAGAACATACCAATAAACTGTTTTAGGACTATCATCAAACACCATCTCAGATAACACTGCAATGTCACGGTCTGGAACACTGCAATAATGTCCGTCTATGAAAAAATATGACAGACTTGGGCTCTGTGATGCTTTTAACACGCTGAAACAATGTGATAGACTTAAGCTCTGTGATGCTTTTAACACGCTGAAACAATGTGACAGACTTGGGCTCTGTGATGCTTTTAACACACTGACACAACGTGACAGACTTGGGCTCTGCGATGATTTTAACACGCTGAAACAATGTGACAGACTTGGGCTCTGCAATGATTTTAACACGCTGAAACAATGTGACAGACTTGGGCTCTGTGATGCTTTTAACACGCTGAAACAATGTGATAGACTTAGGCTCTGCGATGATTTTAACACGCTGAAACAATGTGATAGACTTGGGCTCTGTGATGCTTTTAACACGCTGAAACAATGTGACAAACTTGGGCTCTGTGATGCTTTTAACACGCTGAAACAATGTGATAGACTTGGGCTCTGTGATGCTTTTACCACGCTGAAACAACGTGACAGACTTGGGCTCTGTGATGCTTTTACCACGCTGAAACAATGTGATAGACTTGGGCTCTGCGATGCTTTTAACACGCTGAAACAATGTGACAGACTTAGGCTTTGCGATGATTTTAACACGCTGAGACAATGTGACAGACTTGGAAACTGCAATTATGTCATTCACTGCAAAATGACACGGTTTAGAGAAAGTGAAAGACTGGTGAACAGCTACACTGAATTCCCTTATCACTGGAGTATCTGATTAAATAAAATAAATAAGCTATAATCTTTAATGTGATTATTACATTTACTAGGTTGCCTCCATGACAGACTACAGTATGACCAATATGACATACAGGTATTTCTCTGGGAACCCGCTGTATCCCTATGGCTATGGCCTGTCCTACACAGTCTTCAAATACAGCCAGCTGATTATCTCACCAGTCAAGGTCAAGGTCGGGAGGAATGTCACAGTAACATTCAATGTCACCAACACTGGGAAATACGAAGGAGCAGAGGTAAGACAAAGAGATAAGCAAACCAGTGATATGTGTAATACATCAGTGATATGTGTAATACATCAGTGATATGTGTTATACATCAGTGATAAGTGTAATACATCAGTGATGAGTACAATACTCCAGTGATATGTGTAATACATCTGTGATATGTGTTATACATCAGTGATATGTGTTATACATCAGTGATATGTGTAATACATCAGTGATATGTGTAATACATCAGTGATATGTGTAATACATCAGTGATATGTGTAATACATCAGTGATATGTGTAATACATCAGTGATATGTGTAATACATCAGTGATATGTGTAATACATCAGTGATATGTGTAATACATCAGTGATATGTGTAATACATCAGTGATATGTGTAATACATCAGTGATATGTGTAATACATCAGTGATATGTGTAATACATCAGTGATATGTGTAATACATCAGTGATATGTGTAATACATCAGTGATATGTGTAATACATCAGTGATATGTGTAATACATCAGTGATATGTGTAATACATCAGTGATATGTGTAATACATCAGTGATATGTGTAATACATCAGTGATATGTGTAATACATCAGTGATATGTGTAATACATCAGTGATATGTGTAATACATCAGTGATATGTGTAATACATCAGTGATATGTGTAATACATCAGTGATATGTGTAATACATCAGTGATATGTGTAATACATCAGTGATATGTGTAATACATCAGTGATATGTGTAATACATCAGTGATATGTGTAATACATCAGTGATATGTGTAATACATCAGTGATATGTGTAATACATCAGTGATATGTGTAATACATCAGTGATATGTGTAATACATCAGTGATATGTGTAATACATCAGTGATATGTGTAATACATCAGTGATATGTGTAATACATCAGTGATATGTGTAATACATCAGTGATATGTGTAATACATCAGTGATATGTGTTATAACCCAGCAATAATTACAATACTTCAGTGATAAGTATAATTCTGCAGTGATTAGTGTAATACTTTGTTTCTTTTCTAAATCCACCAGTTCACTTTGAATTCTCTTAACTGCATGAATGTTATCATGTTAATCTGAAATGATGTCGGACAACATATTTGACTATAAAGGAAGGAGGGTTAGGATGTATAAACCTATCAACCCTTCACTAATAAATCACCCAAGTCTGTCACTGTAATGATGTGTGTGGTAACATTGTTTGGATGATGTGTGCAGGTTTCCCAGGTATACATATCGTGGCAGAGTGGGACTGACATGCCTCAGCACCAGCTAGTGGGGACTAGAAGGCCGCACTTGATTCCAGGCCAGACTACACCCTGTAGTGTCACTATCATTGCCCAGCAAACAGCAGTGTGGGATGGGAGAGGCCTAGTAGATAAACCAGGTAAATCTCTCACCAACAAGTTAACTAATCCAGAAACCTTACTTTATAAATATGATTAATAGAGGCTGTCATTATGAAAGTGTGTGTTATATGGATATATTGGATAAAACAGGACTTTGGCAATTCAAAATCAGCACTAAATATGGCTAAATTTCTAGATGGTGTATTCTCAAATAAGATCATCTTTGAAAAGAGCAGAAAAAAAACACAGAATACCAGAGATATACTTCCATTGTTATATAAATATCAATCAAGTTTTCAAAGAAAGCTTTATACAGGTCTGATCTTATCATTCTTCAGGTGTTATAACTGTTAACGTCGGTGGTCAGCTGCCAGGACAAAAGACAATGGTGCCGTCCAACATTCTAACAGGACACTTTACAGTATACAGCTGATGATGTCATACTGGGTTAAAATGACACAGTATACAGCTGAGGATGTCATACTGGGTTATTGTGACATGGTATACAGCTGAGGATGTCATACTGGGTTATAATGACACCGTATACAGCTAAGGTTGTCATACTGGGCTATAATGACACAGTATACAGCTAAGGTTGTCATACTGGCTTATTGTGACATGGTATATAGCTGAGGATGTCACACTGGCTGGGTTATTGTGACATGGTATACAGCTGAGCATGTCATACTGGGTTAATGTGACATGGTATCCAGCTGAAGATGTCATACTGGGTTATTGTGACACAGTATACAGCTGAGGATTTCATACTGGGTTATTGTGACATGGTATATAGCTGAGGATGTCATACTGGGTTATAGTGAAACAGTATACAGCTGAGGATGTCATACTGGGCTATAATGACACAGTATACAGCTAAGGTTGTCATACTGGCTTATTGTGACTTGGATTTTAGTTGAGGATGTCATACTGGGTTATTGTGACATGGGATACAGCTGAGGATGTCATACTGGGTTAATGTGACATGGTGTACAGCTGAAGATGTCATACTGGGTTATTGTGACACAGTATACGGCTGAGAATGTCATACTGGGTTATTGTGACATGGTATACAGCTGAGGATGTCATACTGGGTTAATGTGACATGGTATACAGCTGAAGATGTCATACTGGGTTATTGTGACACAGTATACAGCTGAGAATGTCATACTGGGTTATTGTGACATGGTATATAGCTGAGGATGTCACACTGGGTTATAGCGACATGGTATACAGCTGAGGATGACATACTGGGTTGTAGTGACACAGTATACAGCACAGCTGAGGGTGACATACTGGGTTATAGTGACATGGTCTATAGCTGAGGATGTCATACTGGGTTATTGTGACATGGTACACAGCTGAGGATGTCATACTGGGTTATTGTGACATGGGATACAGCTGAGGATGTCATACTGGGTTATTGATACTGGGTTATAGTGACACAGTATACAGCTGATGATGTCATACTGGGTAATAGTGACACAGTATACAGCTGAGGATGACATACTGGGTTGTAGTGACACAGTATACAGCTGAGGATGACATACTGGGTTGTAGTGACACAGTATACAGCTGAGGATGTCATTCTGGGTTAGGATGTCATACTGGGTTATTGTGACACAGTATACGGCTGAGAATGTCATACTGGGTTATTGTGACATGGTATAAAGCTGAGGATGTCATACTGGGTTATTGTGAATGTCATACTGGGTTAATGTGACATGGTATACAGATGCAGAAGTCATACTGGGTTATTGTGACTCAGTATACAGCTGAGAATGTCATACTGGGTTATTGTGACATGGTATATAGCTTAGGATGTCATAATGGGTTATTGTGACACAGTATACAGCTGTGGATGTCATACTGGGTTAATGTGACATGTATACAGCTGAAGATGTCATACTGGGTTCTTGTGACAGAGTATACAGCTGAGAATGTCATACTGGGTTATTGTATATGTGTTATACATCAGTGATAATGTGTAATACATCAGTGATGTATAACACATATCACTGGAGTATTACACATATCACTGATGTATTACACATATCGCAGATGTATTACACATATCACTGATGTATTACACATATCACAGATGTATTACACATATCACTGATGTATTACACATATCACAGTATGACATTCTCAGCTGTATACTGAGTCACAATAACCCAGTATGACTTCTGCATCTGTATACCATGTCACATTAACCCAGTATGACATCCACAGCTGTATACTGTGTCACAATAACCCAATAACCCAGTATGACATCCTCAGCTTTATACCATGTCACAATAACCCAGTATGAAATCCTCAGCTGTATACTGTGTCACAATAATCCAGTATGACATCCTCAGCTGTATACCGTGTCACAATAACCCAGTATGACATCCTGCGCTGTATACCATGTCACAATAACCCAGTAAGATATCCTCAGCTGTATACTGTGTCACTATTCCCCAGTATGACATCCTCAGCTGTATACAATGTCACAATAACCCAGTATGACATCCTCAGTTGTATACTGTGTCACTATAACCCAGTATACAGCTAAGGTTGTCATACTGGCTTATTGTGACATGGTATATAGCTGAGGATGTCATAATGGGTGATTGTGACACAGTATACAGCTGAGGATGTCGGACTGGGTTATAGTGACACAGTATACAGCTAAGGTTGTCATACTGGGTTATAGTGACACAGTATACAGCTGAGGATGACATAATGGGTTATAGTGACACAGTATACAGCTGAGGATGTCATACTGGGTAATAGTGACACAGTATACAGCTGAGGATGTCTTACTGGGTTATTGTGACATGGTATACAGCTGAGGATGTCATACTGGGTTATAGTGACACAGTATACAGCTGAGGATTTCATAATGGGTTATTGTGACATGGTATATAGCTGAGGATGTCATAATGGGTGATTGTGACACAGTATACAGCTGAGGATTTCATACTGGGTTATTGTGACATGGTATACAGCTGAGGATGTCATACTGGGTTATTGTGACATGGTATACAGCTGAGGATGTCATACTGGGTTATAGTGACACAGTATACAGCTGAGGATGTCATACTGGGTTATTGTGACACAGTATACAGCTGAGGATGTCATACTGGGTTATAGTGACACAGTATACAGCTGAGGATGTCATACTGGGTTATTGTGACACAGTATACAGCTGAGGATGTCATACTGGGTTATAGTGACACAGTATACAGCTGAGGATGTCATACTGGGTTATTGTGACACAGTATACAGCTGAGGATGTCATACTGGGTTATAGTGACACAGTATACAGCTGAGGATGTCATACTGGGTTATTGTGACACAGTATACAGCTGAGGATGTCATACTGGGTTATAGTGACACAGTATACAGCTGAGGATGTCATACTGGGTTATTGTGACACAGTATACAGCTGAGGATGTCATACTGGGTTATAGTGACACAGTATACAGCTGAGGATGTCATACTGGGTTATTGTGACACAGTATACAGCTGAGGATGTCATACTGGGTTATAGTGACACAGTATACAGCTGAGGATGTCATACTGGGTTATTGTGACACAGTATACAGCTGAGGATGTCATACTGGGTTATAGTGACACAGTATACAGCTGAGGATGTCATACTGGGTTATTGTGACACAGTATACAGCTGAGGATGTCATACTGGGTTATAGTGACACAGTATACAGCTGAGGATGTCATACTGGGTTATTGTGACACAGTATACAGCTGAGGATGTCATACTGGGTTATAGTGACACAGTATACAGCTGAGGATGTCATACTGAGTTATTGTGACATGGTATACAGCTGAGGATGTCATACTTGGTTATAGCAACACAGTATACAGCTGAGGATGTCATACTGGGTTATAGTGATACAGTTTACAGCTGAGGATGTCATACTGGGTTATTGTGACATGGTATA